ACGAATAAACAAAAGTTACAAAAAAAATCAATTATTACTGTGTTCTTTTTTTTCGTAATAAGTAATGAAGTTTCGAAATGTCCGGGAAAATTTGTTACTTAGTATTTTATGATGGAAAGAATTGTTTAATGAAATACTAAATGTAGGGAGCAATTTCCTACAGGTTTAATTTTAAGCTATTCTCTAGACCGTCGAATACAGAGTCTTGGTTTGGCCAAAGTCAGAACAAGCAAGCTATTTGGCTAGGTAAACTTTATCTATTTCTAAAACATAAATTAACATCGTTAGTGTGCAAACGAAACAGTACAGTCTATTAATACGCGGAAAAAGAGACAATAACATACCGAACAGTAGCCAGAGAATAGGAAAAATGAGTCAACAAGCAAATATTGTTTTACAATGAACATTAAACTGTGATTGGTTAACAAAAAGATACAGTCGTACAAGGTCAAAGGAAGTTAATGTGGTGGTGGGCGTTGCCCTTTATTATTGGTGGGTTCGTTTATCGATCACATTTTACACTCCCCCCGAAACGCGCACCACGTCCATTGTCCAAGGCCGTCGTAGCCGTCAGACAACCGGCTTCTTCCAGCAGGCATAGGCTTCGCACATCTCTGACGATTTCTTCGTTTGAAGTTCTCAACTTTGCCGTGCGGACTCGTCCGTCCGGGCCATAGCTTACTTGCTCGACTATAGCCTTAGGCCATAGACCTCTATTCATTTCGACGTTACTAACGAGGACTAAGTCACCCGGTTGTAAGTTCTTGTGTACGTCCAACCATTTGTCTCTTGCTTGGAGAGTCCGTAAATATTCTTTTATCCATCTATTCCAAAATGCGGCGGTTAGTCTTTGAGCTTCTTTCCATCTTTTGTTGTATAATAACGTCTTATCCACCGAAGCATCGTCGAATGATAATTTTTTATGAATCAACAACAACTTGTTCGGAGTAAGAGCTTCTAGGGTACCAGGGTCATCTGTTATCTTAACCAGAGGTCTGTCATTCAGTATCCGTTCCGCTTCAGTTAAGAAGGTTTGCAGAGTTTCATCGGTCAACACGTTTTGGAATAAAAGCACTCTTAAGATTCTTCTAATTGATCTTATGATGCGTTCCCACACACCACCTCGATGACTTGCTCTAGGTGGGTTAAAACGCCACTCACATTCTCGTTCTTTAAGGTGGTTTTCTATTTTATTAGTATTCCAGGAACGTATAATCTGTCTCAAACTGGCATCTGCACCTCGGAAGTTTGTGCCGTTATCACTAAAAATACGCTTTGGACATCCTCTTCTGGCAATAAATCTTGATAACGCGCATAGAAATGAATCCGTATATAAATAGTAGGCCATTTCAATGTGAACGGCTCCAATAGATAAGCAGGTGAATAAACAGCCATAACGTTTCTCGACAACTCTACCACGTTTGGCGTAGAACGGTCCGAAGTAATCCACACCTACTTGACTAAAGGATGGCGAATGAGTCGCTACTCGGTATTCCGGCAACGGTGCCATTAATTGGGAACATGGTTTAGGATAAAGTCTTCTACATAAAAAGCATCGTTTTAGAACCTTCCGAACAGCAGAATATCCTCTCACAATCCAATACTCCTCACGAATACTACTCAGAGTTTGAGTAACTCCAACATGTGCGTTGATCACATGATAACGCATTATAATCATATCTGTAACAAAATGATTATTAGGAAGAATAATCGGATATTTGGTTTCAAAGGGTAAACGTGATAACTGCAAACGTCCTCCCACGCGGATTTTTCCTTCAAACATAAAAGGGTTGAGATTTCTTATAGAACTTTGACGAATTAATTTTTTTCTCCTGTTTACTTCGTCCATTGCTTCTTGACCTTTTTGCTGTCTAAAAGCGTTTTCTCCGAGCGTCAACGGTGAGCTGTTTAGAATTCTTTTTTCGACCGGGTACGCGATACTTTGGACTAATTTAATTATGTCATTCTTCGAATTTTCGATATCCTGAGCACTTAGCGCACCTAAGGTTAGACGATTTCCGTTCCTCTTATTTAACATATTATTGATAAGCCGTCTACAGTATGAAAATACCCTTGGAAGTCTGAACCACGACTTTCACGTACGAAATCGATCTAGGAACTTATTATCGTGTCTTGGGAGTTCGAAATCCTCTGTCGATACATGAGCTATAGTGATCTCAATCTTTTCTAGGTTAGGCCACTTATTTTCTTCCTCCCACAAGAATCTCGGCCCTTGTAACCACTCTCTTACCTTAGCCTTATCATTTAGTGATAATCCACGAGACGCGTGATCTGCAAGATTCAATTTACCTTTCACATATCTCCATTGGCTCGGCGTAGACAATTCGTGTATAGTTTCTAACCTGTTACTCACAAACCTTTCAAATCTTTTAGTCGTATTTTTTATGCAATGAAGCACAACTGGGTAACTCGGCATCCCAGTCTAGTTTCTGACGACAAGCATCTTGTAAGATCACTTTAGCTGGTAATATTATTGGGGCTACAAACCCAATTGGATCAAAGATAGATGCTACATACGATAAAACATTCCTTCTGGTGGGGTTTCCATGAAATTCGTGAACTTTGAAACATAACTCGTCTGTTCGGACGTTCCACTCTATTCCCAGAGTTCGTTTACTTGTCTCATTGGATTCACAGACAATAATGCTTCCTTTAGCATGGTCTTCTTCTGGAATGAACTCCAGCACTTCAACGCTATTACTAGTCCATTTAGTTAAGTTAAATCCTATCAAACTTAGGAGTCTTTTAAAGTGCGAATATGTCAGTTTGGCTTCTTCTATGGTATCCACACTTATCAATAAATCATCCACATAAAACTGTTCTTTAGCTGCTTGCGTAACAGCCCTGAGAATTTTATCTTGATTATCAGAAATCGTTTTCTGTAAAGCAAAGGTGGCGCAACATGGCGATGAAGTTGCCCCGAACAGATGAACTTTCATTCTATATATGTCGGGTTCCTTTTCTAAGTCTCCACCTGGCCACCACAAATATCTAAGAACATCTCGATCGGGCGGCGGAATTATTACTTGGTGGAACATGGCTTCAATGTCCGCCGTAAGACCTACTGGTCGTTGCCGGAACCTGGTGAAAACGTCTACTAAGCTATCGACTAAATCAGGCCCGGAATAAAGGTTCTTATTTAAAGAAGTTCCAGCATACTGAGCTGCGCAATCGAACACTATTCTTAGCTTGTTAGGTTTCTTGGGGTGGAAGACTGGATGATGAGGAAGATACCAAATTCGTCCATCAGAGTGGTTATCGTTTACTTTTTCAGCTTAATCTCGTTCCACATACCGAGTCATGGAATCTACATAGTCTTGGAACAACTTCTTATCCCGAATAAGTCTACCTTTCAAACAGCTAAGTCTACGTTCTGCTAATTCTCTGTTATTAGGTAACTTGTGGTTGTGCCTCCAAGGTAGAGCTATTTGATAGTGCCCGTTTAACCTTTGTACTGAATTTGATATAGCACCGAGTGCTATACGATCTTTTACAGACATCGATATAGTACGGCTAAATGGATCTTTGAATTCAGTCGAGTACAACTGTTCGAACTTATCCTCTAATTCCTCTTTAGCTGAGAGGTGGTTGAGTGCACAATTGCTTTTACAAGGTTCCCTATAGGAACCGAACAGCGTCCAACCTAACGGAGTCTTCACGGCGAATGGTTCATTCGGCTTTCCAGTTCTTATCTCTTTCATTTCGTGTACACTCGGTGCGTTGCACCCTATCAAAAGTTTGACATTCTCATCCTCTACTCCAGGAAAACCTATGTCTTTTAAATGCATCCAGGATTTCATTTGAGACATCGTTGGTACCGTCCTGCGCAACATAGGCAATCTCTCGACTGTCCATACGTTTGGGATTCTAAATGACGAAGACGAATCTAAGGAGGAAACCTCTAGTTGAACCTCCTTACACTGAATTGTGGAATGGTTATCCAACGTTTTCAACGAAATCATCTTAGGCTCTCCTTCTAAATTCAACTTTTTAGCTAGATCTTCTGTAATGAATGAGGCATCCGACCCACTATCTAAGAAGGCACAAGTCTGTGCTACCTTTTCTCCATTTCTTACCAACACATGCACTATTGCGAATGCTGCTTGTTTCTGTACACGCTCAGTACTTTTCTCCGTGCATATCTGGGTGTTAATGTGTGCATCAATATTAGTATTCTTTGGTTCTTCCCGCAACTCGTGTAACAGGGTATGGTGTTTCCAGCCACACCCTTCGACAGCACACGACCTCGGCGATCGACAGTTTTTTGCTACGTGGTTTGCCTTCAGGCATACATTACACAACTTGTGTCTAAGAACGAATTCCTTCCTTTCTCTAACATTCTTGTCTTTAAATTTTTGACACTGATCTAAGGAATGATTACTGGAGCACTCCAAACAAGATGAACTGCGTAAGAGAGCATTACCATCACTAGCACTCGCATAATATATTCTTGCTGCATTATAATCCGTACTAAATTTCCTTTTTAAAACACCAACATCTTTATTGCCACTATTACTACCGCGGTTGACAAGTAAGCCGTACCTAGTATTAGCAATGTCCGACTGCTCCTTCACAAATTCACAAAGGTCCTTTAATGAAGGTTCTCTGCCTGTCTTAAGAATTCTACACGCAACTTTAACCCATTCTCTTTGCAGGTGTAGCGGGAGTTTTAAAAACATGCATTCGATAGTCTTTGTAGAATTAAGATCAGATACATAGTTCATCTGCGTGAGTGTTAGCTCACAAATATGCATCTCACGAGACAACCTTCTTAAATTATTTGGATCGGTCCCTTTGATGGCAGAGATGTTCAGCATCTTATCAATAAATGCATGAGCTACTATATGTTTCTGACCAAATGCTTCTTCGAGAAGATCTAGCGCTTTACGATAGCCTTCTTCTGGCTCAAGCAATGCGCAATGAACAATTATGTTTTTAGCTTCACCATCACAGTACTGGATCAAGTAGTTTAACCTAGATCGGAATCCAATGCTCTCGTCAAAACAGTCCTCAAAATTCCGTATGAAGCTCCAATAGTTCATAGGGTTACCATCAAACCTTATAATCTCTTTCTTTGGTAGGTCTAAAGCTCTAAACATCATTGTTACCCAGTCTTTTCTAGGAGGAACATCAACGACAGATGTAGACTCATACGTCATCGCCTTGTCAGCCATAACTTGATTATAATGTTCTCTTCCTTTTTGGCGTAACCGTTCTAGCTCGATTTCCTTTTCTGTCTGAGCTAAACGTACTTTAGCTAATTCTAACTCTAACAAGGGATCCATTCGGTAGGTATTTCCTCCGAGCTGGTCATCACTATGGGTTTCTGAATAATGAGGAGACAATTCAGGAATATGATCAGTTTTACGACTCTCCATAGACATCTAAAGGTACCCAATGTACGAAACTTTGATGAGATACTGTTCGAAACTTTGTAGGGAGCAATTTCCTACAGGTTTAATTTTAAGCTATTCTCTAGACCGTCGAATACAGAGTCTTGGTTTGGCCAAAGTCAGAACAAGCAAGCTATTTGGCTAGGTAAACTTTATCTATTTCTAAAACATAAATTAACATCGTTAGTGTGCAAACGAAACAGTACAGTCTATTAATACGCGGAAAAAGAGACAATAACATACCGAACAGTAGCCAGAGAATAGGAAAAATGAGTCAACAAGCAAATATTGTTTTACAATGAACATTAAACTGTGATTGGTTAACAAAAAGATACAGTCGTACAAGGTCAAAGGAAGTTAATGTGGTGGTGGGCGTTGCCCTTTATTATTGGTGGGTTCGTTTATCGATCACATTTTACACTAAACGAATTATAGTCAATCGAACTAGAAATGTTATTTATTTACTTATTTATTTTAACACATAGATAGTGGTACAAGGAGGCACCAAATACATATGCACCACACAAATCTCATTTGATATGTGTGGGGGCTGTGATACTGCCCGGGTGCACTAAACGAAGCAGGTGGTTTTCTTAGGAGGCCACGTCCGATGCCTTCGACCTGAAGGTCTGATCCACTATGCAGTGGAGCAACGTAAGGAGATGCAGTCCCATGGTAGCCGGTGACCAACGATTGGTTTATACGCCATTTGTTCCTTAAGGGTACTGGAGCCCGTGTGCACCATTAGTTTGGAATCAGGGTTTTCCGACTCCCCTAGGTCGACTCTCCATGCCCACCAACTCGGTTAAAGCGTCGGACATTTGATTTTCATCCTCTCAATTTCGTAAACAACAGTAATGCCACGAGAAGGCAATGTGTAGGACTTCCCTGGCAGAGGTCATTTATGCGTGGCCGTGTGAGAGTATTTCGAGAGGGAGAGCTGACTCTCCCCACTTTCAGCCATACCAGGGCATTTGGGGGCGAACTAGGAATGTACTCGTTGAATAAGGCTCATAAATTCGAACAAAACAAATTGTAAATATTGAGAAATAATCGAGAATGTTTGTACCTTAGTATTACAGTTTTGAATGTCTCGTGTTCTCTAAATAGGGTGGTTAATTCACAAACCTTCACTTTTTTCTGCATGGTTGTTACTTACAACGTTTTTAATGCCTAATAACTTTGTGTTATTTCCTTGTATCTTCCCATTGTTATTTAGGACTGCAATTGATCAGTCTCTTGTTGGCATATGTGCATCCTGTGTGGACTACCCCGATATTACCTTCAGTCACAAGTATTAAAAGCATGCATGGATGGCGGCTAGCAGTGGAATCCAGGATGCGCGTCTCGTCCTATTCGCGACTCGTCAACTGGACGTACCTGCATTTGAGCTGATGTCCACTTCGGGGCTCAAACCCAGCACCGTCTGCTCCAAATGCCATCGCGTTATCCACTTGGCTATTGAACATCCAGCCAGTGAGTTCCAAATAGGATGAAACGCGCGTCCTGGATTCCACTGCCAGCCCCTATCCATCTTTGCTTCAAAAGCCTAATAACTTTGTTTTTATCAGCTTTTAGTCATTTGTCTAATAGGTGATTCTTTGGTATTGAAGTGTAATTTTCCTTAAGAACTTCATTTCAAGAATCCGAATTTATAGAAAACTGAATTTTTGAACATGTCAGTGATTAGTAGCATACTATGACGAAAAAATAGACCTTTGAATGACATCTCAGATAAAAATTATTCTGATGTACAAAATACACGCTCATTGAAAAGAAAAACGTTGAAATGTGCTGAATTCAATATGCCCATTGAAAGCATTAGAAATGAAAACTACCCCAAATTTTGAATAGATGACATATTCGATATAAAGACACGGATGCAAAGAAATTATATATTTTGATAATTCTCTATGAGATCAAAACACCATTCTCATAGAACATCTCTGTTAAATGCTTATGTAATTCGAAGTGATGGTGAAAGTCAGTACACACACTTGACAAGAGTGAACAACCATGAGTATACATATATATCCTACTATGCTACATCCGTGTGTATATTTAGGTGAGATGTCTAAACTCGTTACACCTGGAACTTTTGTACAACTCGCCAATATATTGAAAAGTCATTACTCCTATTTTGTGTAGTGACATCAGTTGACGATCATTCAGAAAACAAGAAGGTGTGGTGGTTGTGTTATCATTGTGTCTGACATCTCGTGCGAGGGAACTTAGCACATCAGACTGAACCAGATCTAGGAAAATCATCTCGTTGAATTGAATCGATAAAAGTAATTTGTACTCAAGATTATTTTTTTCCTCAAAGTGTAGACTTCTCTGTAACTGTTGGTGACAAGAATTCAATGATTTGTGTAATTATTCATTTAATGAAACATGTAATCAAGATTGTATGATTTTCAGTCAAAATTATGTTTCGATGTATTAAAATCACTATTTTTTATTCCACACTGTACACTACACGATTAAATCGTGATCGTTATCTTTTTTAACTGATTAATTCAGAGTAAAGTGACCAGTTTTGAAATATTGTTGTCATTTAAGGTATTCCACGTGATCATTGTGTCCGACGATTTAGTGAGAAAGGGACTTACTACTTTCAGTGCATAGTTGAAGACTGGAGATGAAATCTTGATGTCCATAATGAATATAAGTTTTTACTACTAACCTAATTTTCTGGTCTTCGCATTTATTATATTCAAGTAATAAGGCATACTACAGTCCGATAGGTAGCTTGCTGATAAAAAGAACGTTTGATTCCGATGGATTCTGGTTTGAAAATAGAAATCGGAAGATTAAAAAGCTCTAAATAAACACAATAATTTGTGGCTGTGACAGAGCGTATCTCTTCATGATTGAAAGTGCTAGTCTACTTTAACAAGTCAAGAATCATACAATTTTCTGTTACGATAAGACAACTTACAAACTTGAATAGATCACTTAATTTTCTTTTCGTCAAGATATTTCCGTCTTATGAATTTGTCAAAACCATTTACAAAATATTTCATTGAATTTTCAATTATCTATTCACAATATTATGGTCATTGCATGTAATCAAGATTATGAAGACGTTGTCATCAATCAAACAGACATATATGTGAACATGAAGCTTGTTGAAACTCGTTGATAAAAGGCATCGGTGTTTTCGTGAAGACGTTAATTCTATATGATAAGAAGAAACGTCGATTAGCGCACAGATCTTGAAGTTACAATTAAACTGTGTAATTATTAAGTGTGTCGTACCGTCTGATAAATGTTAACCAGCAATAAAGTTAGGTGTTGGTTTATTGTGGACCGTACCGTGATCTAGAGGACTTTTGACAACGTGATACCAAACACATATACATGATGATTTTCTGTTGTTCGGATGAATTATCAATTGTGATTTTGATTGGATCGAGTCATCGCAATGTTTATACAGCTTATCCATAGAAGCATATTGAGAGTTCCATAGGCTGTTAATCACAAGCAACTAGTTGAATGAATATACTAGGATTCAGATTGTTTTTTTGGTGAAATAGAATGCCGACTAGTCACGGGGGTAGTGATCATAATTAACTTGTGTACATTTTTAATCAAAGTAGAATACTCGATGTTTGGTGGATATCAAGTTTTCGATTCCATAGAAATTTGAATTACCATGATCGTTCACTCTTGTCAAGCGTGTGTATGTGTTAACTTTCACGATCACTTTGAATCGCGTAAACACGTAGAAGAGATTTTCTGTAAACAATAAATTTGTAATATCTCAATGAGTAGAAAAATTAAGTTTTCTGACGTTTCGTGACCCAATGTAAGCCACTTTTTCAGAGAATGTTCTACAAAAATGACCCTTTTATTACATACAAAATTATCAAAACAGATAGTTTTTTTCGAATCTGTTCCCTGATGTTTGAAATCTTTATGTTATCCTTTATTGTACACAATCTATGGGTAATCTATCAATGAGTGCACACGACGTATGTTATTGGTTACAAGATAAAAATGTAAACATGGTCTCAATAGAATGTTACAGTTCATCTATCAATGCAAACAAAGCGTTAGTAAGTCGAAAGACGAGTTCGTTCGTTTCTCTTTCGTCCCTCTAATATTCCACAAAACCACTTTTATTCATCATACTCTAATAGCCACACATGAATCCTTGAGTAGCATTTATATATAATCAATAGACTACTCATAATTCTAGTAGAGAGACCGTTTGAAACTTAAAAGTAAGCAAACTTGAGTCTGTTAATAGATACGCTTTCAACAAAATTACAGGATCGATTGGTAGGATAAAAAATCTCCACTTACTATGATACTAAGTACATCTGCACCAGAATATGGGGGAATCTCGTCATAATGAGTTGATGAATGATGACAATTAGTTGAGATTATGATAAATTCGATTGTTGGAAGCATTCCGAGGTCAGTTGGGGCTATTTATTGTAAATTACTGTTAAGTTTGTTTATACTCTGTCCTAATTCGCTTCCCATCAACTTTTTTGTGTATTGTTTTATGCTACTTATCAACATACAGTAAATAATTTTAATAGTTGAGATCATGAGTCAATTGAAGCTATGGAGAACCTGGAAGCACTGGACGGCCGTTTCGTCCTATTGCGGGACTCATAAGCAGTGCGCATTCACGACCCCACCCAAGAAGATTCCAACCCAGAACCTATCAGTCTCGCATTCGGGCGCTTAACCACTAAACCACTGAGCCGGCACCCAAGGGTGTTAATGTCTAGCTTCAACTAATCTACTTAATTGAGCGACGCATTCACCAATGTCTTCAGTGAGTTACTATCTCACAACAGATCCAGCTGAACCCCACTGGTCACTGCTTCCCAATGGAACAACTTTTAGAATTACTATAATATCCACAAAACCCCTTCTGATATTATTTAGTAAATAGTTGTATTCCTACCAATTTCCACACGTATGTTGTAATACGAATAAATCTCCGAAATAAATTGTTCTGTAAGTCTTTGACATTGATGCTGGCCTCATCAGTTTTACTGGATAAGCTTTATCTGAAGGCGCTGGGTCA